ATATATATATGTATATATATATGAATATATACATATATATATATAAAGATATATATGTGTGTGTGTATATATATTTACACAAATCCACCATATATATGTGTGTGTGTATGTGTGTGTGTGTGAGTGTTTTAAAATGTTTACTGCAGATAGTTTAAAAATATCTAGGTTTTAACTAATAGCTTTAAAAAGGTTTTTTAAAAAATAGTTAGACATCTTAATAACTTAGTTATCTCCCTTGACGTCACCGCACGTGTATTTTTATATCATAAAATTTAAAAATCGTGCAGTATATAAGTTCAGCGCTTTTCACTTCACAAGTAAAAAATTTAATTTTCGGATGAACATAACAATGTTGTCTGGGAAAAATGATGAACACAACAATTTTGCCTTAGGAAAAACAAACAATCCTGATGATGACATTATACTAATATCGAAAGTGCTCGGAATAAAATGATTATGCATCAACATGGTAAATTTCTTTCTTCCTTTAATAAGGACAATAAGAAATTTGTCCATAATTATCAGAGGATCCTATTAAGAATAAGAGGACAAAATTTGTGTAAATTATTTAATGAGACATGTCTTTATATATATATATATATATATATATATATATATTAATTGATTTAAAATATGTTTTTTTTCGCTACGCAGTTCTAACCATGTTTCAAAAATGGAAGTTAAAAGCCCTGAATTTAATTTTGTGATTAAATTAAAGAAATTAGTTCCATTTCATCCTCAATGAATTTTTTGAGTAACTTTTAAAATTACTGGGTTTTAAATACACAGCTAAAATAAAATTTCTTCATATATATATATATATATATATATATATATATATATATATATTTGGAGGAACGGTTACATGATTTGAGGTAAAATAATTCCCCCTCTCACTTACCATCTTGTTTTATTACGGTATTAAAAAAAAAAGTTTTTCTTGTTAGATTACCGACGATTGTGTTTGAAAATGTGTCGGTCGAAAGGCGCCTTACATTTTATGTTTTAAACGCGGATACTGTTGTATCATGTGTTTAATATGATCCCATATTTTTTATTCCTCAAATGTCTGATATATATATATATATATATATATATATATGTTGTGTCAGGAATTATATTTCTTGATGTTATCGGTATGGAGGGGCGATTATAGCATGCAGCACCTTTGGAAAGTGCCTGAAATAGGTTGACCCAAGCCTTGTGAGTGAAATTGGGTAGACGGAACCCTTGGAAGCTGTTGATAGCTGTGATAGCACGAAGTCACAGGTCATCGTGACCGAGGTTTGGAGCGTGCTCGCCTTGTTCAGATTGTGGATCATGCTAGATAACACTCTCTGTCCCAGAAACTGTAACTAAGGTCTGCTCAGCATAGTTGTAGTCTAAACTACAGGTGGGCTCTGTGGGTGTTGAACAAATAAAAATGTGCCTGAGCGAGTGTCTGCAATAGGGATTGTCTAGCCTCCCTAATAGACGGGTATCCTTGAATACGAGTGGTCATTTATTATAATATATATATATATATATATATATATATATATATAGTTGAGTGATGTGACTTTGTGATCCTGGGTTTCATGCTATTTGCGATCGTCAGACAAACAAAAAAGTTTGAATTGATGTGAGTTTCTTTGACGATCGCAAAGGTCATGAAACCCAGCCTCACAAACTCACATCAATCCAACTAAATATGTTAGCTCTATCATTTTTTCAGTAAGTAGTAGCGTATATATAATATATAAATAATATATATAAAAAAATATATATATATATATATATATATATATATATATATATATATATATATATATATGTATGTATATATATATATATAGGTGGCCTGACGATTGCATATAGCATGAAACAGACTGTCGACTTCTATGTTCACTTTTATATTTA